CAGGAATCCATCACACGCCAACAGAATAATCCTCAGCTTAAGACAAAAACTTCAATGATGTACCATTGCTGAAAAAGTAAGTAACAGGAGGAAATCAGGAGGCTGGGAATGTGACATTGGTACAAGTCATGGTAGAAACTCCATGGCTAGTGCGGAATGTGAAAGTGTGAGAGGCTGACAAATAGTTATAACAAAAATATGCTTACATAGTGTAACCAAAAAGTTGGACAGGAAAGGCCTCTCTAACAAACTACCATTCACTTAACAACCTATTCAAATGCTGAAACATCAAAGTCATGTAGACATAAAGGCATGGCTTCTACTTTTTGTGTCCAAACATTCTGATATACTATCTGCTCAAGTATCAATTTTAGAAGGCCAAAACTGACTTCTGACAGGTATTTATGAATATTGGTAATTTACATTTTTAAAAGAGTTGACATGGAGATGTCAATTGAGTAAAGTTGGAAAATAAAAATCGATACAAAAAGTAAGGAGTTAAAATAACCAATTTATGTCAAATGATATAAGCAACAGAAAATGAAATAAAAAGTATGAGGAGACACTGAGTTCTCTTATTGCTCTCAAGTTTTAAAACCAAAGCAATAGCTGATATTCAATCAATATCATCCTGCTTTGGTGGAGCACAGATCTAGTTTTGAATGTCGGAAGTGGAATTTTTGTTTTGTCTTTAAGCTTTAGATTTTTTTCTTAAAAGAACTCCTTCTTGCTAAAACTCAAGTACTTATTAAAGCAATTCACAAAAGCTTTCAGAAAAATGAAACTTTTACCTGGCACATTGCTTTATATTCTTCATAGATTTCATACCGCAGTTCACATGCTCATGAATATATTTTAGCCCAGAAGTTAGTACACACACACACACACACACACACACACACACACACACACACAAACCTACACAAAAATCCTTCGGGTCCCAGAAAATTAACAAAAACCACAGTAAAAATGCAAAATAATAATCCATTTCCCAGTTCTATTTATGAAAATACAAGGTTAATCCTGCTTAGCCAGACATGAAGATATTTCTCTTGTTGCTAAGTATAAGTGTCTTCTTACCATTATTTGTAGAGTAAATCAGCAATCTGCTGCCTTCTGCAGTCACCAATCAATTTTTTCCTTCCCTTCTTTCTTGTAACTTCTTTTAACCAGCAAGACCGGGAAGAAAATAAATCTCTGAGAATATGCCTCAGTATTTCAGATCAGGAGATTGTGAAACCAGCTCTTAGTTTAAAAAGAACAGGTCTGGTATTTTACAATTACTTCTGCAAAGTCAGAGGTACCTCTGGCTTCCTGTACCTCCGTGCCCGACTCCCTTGTTCTTTAAGTTTCCTTTAGTAATGAGACTAATTTTTCCAGTAGCCTTGAACTCCCTAGATTTAACTGACATGGAAAATGTGACTAAAAACTTGTAGAACTGTCTAGCCTCCAATCCTACACAGAATGAACTTTGTTGGAAGTGTTGAAGAACACCTCACAAGCAGCTACATGCTCAGTGTAGACTTGTGTTCTGCAGCACAGAACACCAAATAGCAGTGCGCCATCTAGTTAGCAAACTGCAACCTCCGTTCCAGAAGGGGGGACACCTTCCACCCCTGGGAGCCAAGCTTGTCAGAGTTCAGCTACTCTAAAGGTCCAATTGTTTAAATTAAAAAAAAAATATATCGCTACTGGGATAATCCACATCTAGTGGATATGGGAAAATTTAGGTTATAATAGCACTACAAACTTTTACATCTAACTTTGATTTACAAGATAAAAGCAAGTTTTAAATTAAAAGGGCTTTCTGTTAATAGAGCTTATTATTCTGAAGACGGGAATGATTTTCTTCGAAAGTTGTCCCTGGGTGCACGCCTATTATCTTTGCTTTTCCCCTTCCACTAATGAGCATTTATCTAAAGAGCCTGTTAATCCTCTGATGTGTGCTTCTGGTCAGAGGTAACAGTTTGAATAAAACCACTAATCACTGATCACTAAATCACTGATCATTAATCACACTCTCTGGGCCCATGACCGGGCCATTTTTCCCTTCAAGTCTCTGCATCACAAACAAGAAGTTTAACATTGTCGATGCACATGTATTGTCCACCCCTGGGAGCCAAGCTTGTCAGAGTTCAGCTACTCTAAAGGTCCAATTGTTTAAATTAAAAAAAAAATATATCGCTACTGGGATAATCCACATCTAGTGGATATGGGAAAATTTAGGTTATAATAGCACTACAAACTTTTACATCTAACTTTGATTTACAAGATAAAAGCAAGTTTTAAATTAAAAGGGCTTTCTGTTAATAGAGCTTATTATTCTGAAGACGGGAATGATTTTCTTCGAAAGTTGTCCCTGGGTGCACGCCTATTATCTTTGCTTTTCCCCTTCCACTAATGAGCATTTATCTAAAGAGCCTGTTAATCCTCTGATGTGTGCTTCTGGTCAGAGGTAACAGTTTGAATAAAACCACTAATCACTGATCACTAAATCACTGATCATTAATCACACTCTCTGGGCCCATGACCGGGCCATTTTTCCCTTCAAGTCTCTGCATCACAAACAAGAAGTTTAACATTGTCGATGCACATGTATTGTGTGTGTGTGTGGGGGGGGGTTATACTATTTCATCTCTAGATGTGAATAAATAATAAACACTGCCAGAAACTTGAGGAGGTGGTGTCAATTAGTCCCCAGTCAAGAGTTTCACAAATGCCTGATCTACAGCCTAGCTTTAGATCTGATTATAGCAAAACATGTGTTCTTCAAGAAATTCCCACCTATTTAGAACATAAACTTCCCTTTATTTAGCTTCCACCGAATCCACACCACTCAGATCCTCTGCCGCCTTCTTCCAAAAGCCTCTACTAGTTTTTCATTTTCACCGAACACTTCCCTCACTCCCCCCAAAAGTTTTTACTTTTTGTCCGTTGAACAAGTCAAACACAGAGTTTTTTATTTCAACTGCCAGATAGGAAGGTTCTAACTCAATTCTGTAATTTGGGCATTTAACTTTCTCTCTAAACATAGAAACTTCATGTTAAGAATAAGAAATAACACACGCAGCAAAGTAAGCTTACAGGCCCGCATTCCCTCACTTTGGAAATAAAACATCTAATCTCGATCCTTTCCGCTAAACCTGATTTAGCTAGCTCCTTCTGCATCTTTTCCCTTGGGCTCCGCGGTTCTAAACAGGCGCTGGGCAAAGCGCTTTGCTGTGGGTGTGTTGTTTCCCCAAATCACCACAGAGACACAGTATTATCCTAACCCTTGTAAACATTTCCTTGGGTTTTCTATGCAGGCTGAGCATTCTCGCCCTGCAAAAGGAGGCCTTTGTGGCCCTTTTCTTAAATAATAGAAAAGGGCTGATTGAGCTCTGATCAGGTACCGAGGTTCGCTCAAGACACCAGAAGCTCTTACCAACACTCCAGGGACCGCTTTTGCCCCAGGGAAAGCAGTAAAAGGCGGGGGCGGGCCTAAAGTGATAACGCTGTGGGCGGGGGAGGGGTGGAGGAGGAGGAGGGGTCGGGGAAGAGAGGGCCGTAAGGGTGTCCGGGGAACTGGCGATTGCACAATGTATTGGGGGGCGGGGGCTGTCGAAGACAGAGTTGCTTTGTCAGCATTCTGAGCCCCTGAACCCTTGAGTATCTGAAGCCGTTAATCAAACACTTACTGGCCTGCAGAATGACGTAATGGACTTGTATCCAGCCTTTATTCCTTGACACATGTCAGGGCGAGGGAAAAATAAAAAACCAAACATGCTCTGCAGACTGACAACGAAATACACAAGCACCCTACTCTGTTACCCGCCTTGAAGAAGCATCAAGTGGGGGCGGCACTAGTTCTGGGAAAGTTGGAGCTTTGTCTACCAGACACCCCTGGAAATAAATCTATTAAATAATATTTTTTAAAGTAGGATGCAACCCTCTGAAGAAACCATCCCCTTGGTTCCTCCGTGTCTTGCCCACTCTGAGAACTTCGTGAAAAGTTTAAGCAGTTCGGTGGAGAATCTGCCTCCAAGGAAGGCTCCTCCACTGGGTGCTGAGAACCTTCTGGGCGCAGCTCCGCTGAGCCTGAGCTGTCATTCGCCGCGGCGGTGGCGTGGAAGAGGTAAAGAAGCCAGCGCGAGGAGGACGGAGGCGGGAGGCGACGGCGGGAGTGAGCGCAAGGGGCCTGACGCACTCTGCAGCTGGAGCGCCAGGAGCGAAAGTCAAGTGCCTTCCCAGGGCGACCGCCCCTCCCCGAGCGCGCGCCCACCAGCTGCCGCGGACAGCACTGCGGGAGAGGTGGCCGCAGCGCCGGCGCCCGGGAGAGGGGGAGCCTCCGGTGCGCTCGACCCTAGATGACCCGGCGTCCTTGCCGCTGGAAGTTTGCAAACTTTCTCCCGGGGTTCCGCCGCATCCCTGGGAAGCTGGGGGTGCCGGGGAGGCTCCGGGCTGGTATTCTTCTCTGCCGCCGCTGTTGCTGGTGCTGCCGCTGCTTGACCACGCTTCGGGGGGCTTCCGCACCTTGCCAAGGCTCTGGAGGCAAACATACACCCCCGATTCATAACTGTTCCCTGAGTCAGGGAAACTCACGCGCGCTCCACACACGCACGCATGCTGGGACCCACACGGCGCTGGCTCCACTTAGCATCCCTCTAGTCGCACGGCGCTGGAGCCACGGAGGCGCGCTCCGGGACGGACTGACACGGCGTGGGGTCTCTAGGTGGCTACAGGACACAGCACAACTCCACGGTCCACCAGCAATTGGGGCCGGACTTCCCTCTGGTCCGCCAAAATGTTTACAAACACAGATCAAGGGGGGAAAAAATGCATCGCATCTTCCCTACTGCTTGCCCTGTGACCTGCCCATTGGACCAAGAACCTCGCGGCTGCAGCCGAGAACCAACCCCTGCAAACAAGTACGCTCCCGAGATGGCTCCCGCGGCAAGTGCAACAAAAGTGGCTAAAAGCAAAAGCCCCAAAGGGGCCGAGCCGTATTTTTAGGAACTTACCAAACAAGTGTGGAGAAGGCAAGAGCGGAGCCCGGGTGAAGGGACCACGTTGGACTGAGCAAAGATTACAATACATTCTATTTAGAGTGCATTACATCACCCCCCCGGTGACGTCACGTGGGATTCCTGAACTTCTAAATCATTGCGGTCCGCTGGGGAGGGAGGGGGGGAGAGGGCGGGGCCGGCACGCCAAGGGGCCGGGCTCCGGCCCGGCCCCGCCTAGACCCCGCCCCTCCAGCGGACCCGGGTGCACGCGGCTGCGGCGGCGGCGACCGCGCAAGCAATAGCTTGCACAGCCCAGCGCCGTGTGACACGGCTCCCTGACATTAGTGGTGTGAGTCAGCTTGGAAACAATCCTCCTGGTTTCAGACGGGACCACGCAGGAGGCGCGGACACGGGCTCTCCTTGCAGGAGAGCCTGGTAGGGTCTGAATAAGTAATGTTGTCGGTGTGGGGAGGAGAGGTGAGAAGGGATGTGAACCAGGTGGGAAGAGACTGTGCGCTTACGTGCAGGATGCTTCCCTCCCCCACCAGATGCCCAGCTCCTTCGGCCTGCGACAGTCATGACCTCATTGCAGTGTTCTCTGCAGGCTGGCTTCTAGAGCACTCGCTCTTCACTACTTTTCCGACTCCTCTCTGGAACACCCCCCCACACACACACCTCTTTATTGTGCACACTCACTAGAACCCCACAGCCCCCAGCTTTTCCAAGTCCCCTAATTATACGTCTGCTAAGCTGTGAGGAGAGTCGCTCCTGAAGGCAAAAGGTGAATCTCAGTCTGGAGCCAAGTGATGAGCCCGATTTAGACTTCGCATCAGAACCGGAAGGGCCCTTGGCTATCACTTCCAGAGCTGCCTGGGTTACTGGCCCAAGCTCTCGGCCTGGGAAGTGGCCGAGTAAGGACTCTGGATCTAGGGCCAGGTCTACAGCGGGAAAGAAAGTCTGGCGTTTTCAGCATGGGCCAGTCACAACCGCCAACACTAGCATCATCCGGGCTAGCTTTCGTTCCAAGGCTCCTCTGTGAGGAGCGAAGAAAGCCCGTAGGTGACTACTGTCATCCTGCAGCAGAGCGCCCTTTGCGAAGGGCTGGAAGCCACAGCATCCCCCTTGTTCCTCACAAGAACTCTGGCACAATAGGAAGGGCAGCGTTGTAATTATCTCTATTGCATCCGTGAGGTGAGCTAAGGCTGGCTCCAGAAGCGCATGTGGTGGCACTGGGACAACTCCAGCCCATTCCAACCCCAGATCCCATCTGGGTTCCTTTATCGAACCAGCATTCTCTTCCTGTGGGTTGCTGATGGCTAAGAACTTCAGCTAAGAGCTTCCTGGCTGGGATTTGGATTCTTTGCTTAGGAACAGTTTAGCCCCCATTAACAAACAATAATTATTCCTGACATTTATGTAACATCTGACATTTATATAGTACCTCTCATCCAATGCATCACAGCCGTGACTATGCAGTCTGCCAGAGGATCATGACCAGACTGGCTAGAAATTGTACTGCTTTGCCTGAATTGTCACATATTTCTGTGCTGGTTTTGACATATTAAGTGGAAGAGCTTTGTATTTCCTCTCTGGTTTGAAGTGTTTAAATGTTGCCCCCCCCTTCTCTTTAGGGTTCCTTGAAACCACAAGGGCTGAGGACCATTTTTTCTTTGCAATCCTCCTGAAAACTCCTCAGTGAGTTTTCTTCTTGTTCTCCATGGAGCCCTGAAGGATCTGTGGAAGAATGACTCCAGTCTTAACCTGAATCTGAACCAATAAAACCTTGACTATGACAGCTCAATTATCTGGGCTTAGGGAAGGAAGCAATAGCCCACTCAGCAACAGCTTCCGTTCCCACATTCCATCTTGCTTACCAGTCCAGCCTTGCCCACCTAAAGCAGAAGCCAATCTCCTTCTGCCTCAGAGAAAAGGAGTGAGTCCAAAGGGAATGGAGCCAGCATATCGGAGCTCATGCTAAGAGCTTGCACTTTCCCCCAGTAGACAGGCACAGACCAAAGGAATAAAGTGGAGAATTAAATCATCAAAAGATTTACAAACCTCTAAGTAGTTAACCAACATGCAAATCTAAATCATTTAATTCACAGCATTCTCCAAACAGAAGCATGCATATATGAGTCTTAATGCAAGCACTATCCAGATTTCTTAATGGGATGATGAGGATATTTACAGTAACTCAAGTATTTATATATATATAATTTGCATTAACAAATGTACTTGGCACTGGGCAAGTACTATGTGAGCATTCACCCTCTTTCTATTAATGAAAGTGTTGGGGCTATCATAAGTGGGCACTCAGTGATTTTAACAAACAATCAAATAATTGGAAAGGGGATCTTTTTACCCCATCATTCCCGCAGCCCACATGGCCCTCTACTTACACTGTAGACACCAAGCAGCCTCTGGTCAGTAAGACCTTGCAAACAGCCTTCATGTTTGTGACTTGTATTCCTGCCTGCCTCATGCTCACCCAATCTTGTCCAAGATTTCTCAGAGCCAAAGTACCATGGAGGTTTTAGTGACTGGGAGATGCCAGGCGAGGTATCTCTAGGGGTATCTCAGCTGGTGAGGGCATAGCCGGTGGCATTTGCCCCTTGGGGTGCCAGTGCTACCCAATCAGGAATGCCATCTTGCCTCCAAGTCTCTACCCTTTACAGCGGGTGAGATATGTGGAAATAGGGACTTTTACACCAGAATTAAGGCAGATTAGCCAGGGTACCACTCACCCAAGGACACCTCCATAAGCCAGCTTGGGAGATGCCATTCCTAGTGCTAAGGAGATTGGACCTATGAAGAGAGGAATGGCATCTACACTGGACAAATGAAATTACATGACTCCCTGCTAGACCAGAGGTTAATCCTTTAGTTGCTGGATCAGGAAGGGAAATATCCGAGAATCAAAATAGTGGATATCTACTAAGGCCTAAAGCAGTACTCACTGGAAGATATCTTAGATACTATTATGCCATCCAAGGCTTTGGGAGAATTTAATAAAATAGTTCATGATAAGTGCTTAGAATGCTGCCTGGCATTTAGAATGTGCTCAGTAAATGTAAGCTATGTGAAGCTTTCTGTATTATTGGAGTTCTACAGATTCAAACTGCAGAATCAATTCAAGTAGTTCTCTAATTCAAGGCCTTAATAAGAACCACTTGCCTTGGAAGGAGATGGTGCCCTCAGAAAACAGATCTGCACTGAGTCCATTGAGTCTGGACGCCAGAGCGGCTTTATAAAGGCTGATATTCTAGGCACTATCATCAAATTTACCCTTCTGCTTTTGACAGATAAATGTATTTTACATGAGTGATTATGTAATTATTAATTCTTGTGTTGTTTAGAGCTCTAAGAATTATTTCTAGAAAACCTAGAAGGTATGACTTGAAAATCATATGTTCTTGTACTAGTGATAAGAGTGCGCGCCAATTCCAAACTGTTGTTTCAGAAGGGTTAGCCAGATCACTTAGCTCAAACTTGGGGGACCTGGTCTAGAATTCTGTCAGTTGATGATGGTTGATCTATTCTTTTGTAATTATTATAGTCACCACCTTATAAAATGTAACATTTTTCCTGAACCTGACTGGAAATCAAATACTTCACCATCCTAAAGAGGATTAGAATGTTAATATCCCTATAAAAGTTACCTGATCTTAATGGGCTTTTTTCTTTTTTGAAAGAGTGACTCGATTAAAGGAAAACCTACTCAATTTTTTGGAATTAAGTGAAAGAGATTGACACCTGCTCTGAATGGCAGCCCAGAGAACAGTGCTGTGTCAGCACACTACAAAACTTCTAGTCATTTCCTCAAGATCGATGGTAAGTGGAAAGTAACAGTTTAACAATAATTAAGAATGTTTTATATTCTTAAATATAAAAGGAGGTTCATTTAGACTAAAACATTATTGATGTCCCATAAATTAATAGGGAGCATCGTCTCCCATGAACTGATATTTCATGTGCCACCTCTCTTTATGTCATCATTAACCACATGTTTAACTTGTGTACTGCTGACGTGGAAGGTTAGTCTCATACCTTCAGGGGCATTTGTAAGTACCTAATTTAAATGATCCTTGAAATTTTCAGTAGCTTTTAAACCTAATGGATCCACCAAGCCTCCGCATACTTACAAGATACAGAATATTTAAAAACTGGAAAGTTACTCTGAACCTCCCTTGAATTGTGGCTATTACTCACTAGAGGAGTCAGGAAAATATCCTCTCCCCGTTTCCTCCTCCACCCTGCTTTTAGAATCTTCTGTTCACAGCCTTCACAGCAGTGGCCTTACTTGACACAGAGATTGTGGTATAAACAGCACACAGGGATGGTGTGCAGTTTAGCAAAACCATCTATTTTCTGAACTGCTGTGGCCATTTAATACTATGGCAAAGTCTTGAGGGAGAAGAAAGCACACTGTTATTTGTGAGCACCAGCTCTGGGTCCTACCTGTTATATATCTTATCTTGCTTAATCCTGACAACTCTGGGTGAAAGGTATTATTCTTCCCATTTTACTAATGGCAGAACTGAAGTTCAGAGAAGCTAAGTTATTTGACTGAGGTCACAAAGCTAGGAAGGAAGGCAGCTGAGGTTTCAAGCCTAATCCTGACTCTGGAAACCCTGTTGTGCATTACAACCAGCTGTGACCCTTTATTTGAAGACTCCACCTCTCTTTTCAACCCTCTGCAGAGCATTATTTCATTTTGTCAAGCATAAGAATATACAGAGGTAGAAAAACAGGGCACCTTCAGTTCCCTTTCTAGATTGTATGTTTGTTCGGAGAGCCCTGTTAGATAAAGCACAGAGGAGCCTACAGAGCAAAATCCTGGTGACCTGGGCATATATAATAGCCCTACTGGTGTTGGAGACTGTGGTCTACTTGTTATGGGAGTGGGCTGCTGATCTTTGATGCAAGCAAGATCTTTGCAGCAGTAGAGGCTGCTGATTAAACTGGCCAGAGGAATAAAGACTCATTACCAGACAACTGGAACCCAAGGACCCCATTTATCTCCCTCAAGGTAATAGGCACTACCAAAGCTACATAAATATAACAAGGTTTACATAAGGATTGGGAAATACAAGGGCCTACCCTT